AATTATTGTTGTAATTATTTCAATTATAAAATAATAAATAATTATAGCGTGTAGTTATAAAATTTGCTTTTCTACTTACTAGCTGAATTGACCAATGCATGTGCTGCGAGCAATTTCAGAGAATGTACTTCAAACAGAACGGGGTGAAATAACAACTCTCTTGCACTTGGTCTACTAAGTGGGTCCACCTGAAGACATTTACGAATAAAATCTTTTTGTTGAACATCATCTAAAGATTCTATTGTCTTCCGGATGTTTTCTTCGGTAACAATTGTACCCGTATCACCATTTCCTTGAATCTCCAGCGCGGCCATTTCCAAAGCACACATCCCAAATGAATAAATATCAATCGCAGGTGTGACAGAATCTTAAAAGAAAAATAATAAATGATTTGAATATAATGGTTTAAATGCGACTTGCACATACATGCACATTTGTAAAAACAATGCATTTACTTCCGTATTCTGGGGCCACAAAATGCATATTCTTCATGTTGGTTCTACAAGTCTTGATGTGGTGATGGATCGCGTCTGGGGCCACTGTAATTATAAAGAAATTACCACTTTCACAAGTTGTTCCACTCCAAGAAAAGCATCAACATAAAAATGACATATTAATGTGAACGTATTCGATACTGTGTTAGATTTTGTTTACAGGGCAGCCACCAGACAGAATTCAGTAAGTGTAACATATATAGATAAAATGTATATTCTTCAGTAAACAATAAATATGCTTTAGATGTTTATTTGCTACGCATTCTGTATGTTAGCTGCTGAAATGAATGACTAAACCTCTCTAGAAAAATTGTGTTTCAGCTGAAAATTTATCCTAAAAGTAACTTGAGCCCTCATACAATTAATAACTTTTGCATGTACAAATGCAAAAGTGTGTCTCTGAAAGGGAAACATGTTTCTTGGAAAATACGAATGTACAAATAAATGTACACATAAATCGTTATTTCGTTAAAAAAAGAAAAAAGAAAGATAACACATTTTACTGTTGGTTACAATTCTGCTATAAAAAGCCACTATCGTTGAATCAGTACAATTACAACATATAAATTTGGGAAATAAAATCTAGGAAACCTTTAATAAAGAACTTACAGGATATGAATAAAAAAGCATGTATAATATTAAAATACAATGAGAATGCGTGCGCTAGGTGATTGTGAGAAGAACAAAGAGACACAAGAGCACTTTGCCCTTCTTAGTTAAATACAATTAATAACCAGGAGATAAATAGTGCAACATAGTGGCACTAACATAATAAAAATAAATTGTAATTATTTGTACACTTAATATGGAGCTACTTAATAATTAGTATAGAATTGTTTACCTCTCTATGCCTAATTTACTTAGCTGGCAATAGTTGATGACAATCTGCCAAATGATTTTTTCTTGAAATTCATCACCTTTGACAATAACACCAATCGAAGAACATCGACGTTGGTAGATTTATCCTCTGGATGGACGAAAGTACGATTCGTACTTCCTCTCTCTTCAAAGGCTTTGCTGTGTTTTTTTCATTATCTAGATTAGCCTATTTGCTATAATTAAAAATGAGGACTCAAGTTACTCCTAATATGTAAAGATAATTTAACACAAT